CGTGCGCTTTCTCAGTCTTCCTCCCAGGACCCACAGGGCTTCTGCCGCAGCTTGCCCCCTTGCCTGGGTCGGCGCGGCCTCCTCGGTCCCTTCACAGCTGGGTCTCCCCGCTGCGGCACCTGTGCTGCCGCCGTGGTCCTGGACCGTTTCACCGCCCTCCGCCTTTTCCGCCTCCGCTTCTCTCCCCTCCTTGTCGGTCCCCTTGTCGGTCCACAGGGGCTCACCCGCTCTCCCCGCCTTCTAGTCCCGGTTGGTTTCATACCACCTCCCACCCTCACCGTAGTTTTTCGGGCGGGTGGTGATGGGGGGTGACGTATAGGGGGGGTGGAGAAATTGTCCTAAAGGCGCCCGTTGGGGGTCCTGCTGGAGCCAGCAGGGGCCCAAACGGGTCCTGAAGAGGCCCCGCTGGGGCCCGTCGTCTCCACCTCCCATTCGGGGCCCCCCCAATCGCCACCCGCCCGAGCTTCGTCTACACATTGCCCACCCCCGCCATCCAGGCCTTGATGGTCATGGCTGCTGCCCGCTGCGAGGCTTTATAAGAGGTTTCCGATGGCTCGGCCGGGCATAGGCGCCGCTCCGCTGCTTGCAGTCGATATTTTGCGCCCCGTCGTCGCGCGCGGGGCCGTGACGCCAACAACAAGTGTATGCGTGTATGTTTTTTTTCACGGCAAGAACAAGTATTGGGAGGTCTGGGTGCCATTTGGAGGTCTTGGTGCCCGGTCCCCCAGGCGTTGCTTTCAGCCGCCAGGTTTGACAAACACGCTGCTCACCCCCCCTTCCCCCATCCTCCTCCTCTCCTCTTCCTTCTCTTCCATCCCTTGGTGGACGCGGCGCTGTGGGTGTTGGCCGTGTAGCGTTTCTATCTGTCTGCGTTTTCGCCCACGGGCGGTCCGTGCTGTCCGATCAATTGTTTCCCTCCACAGGCAAGTGGTGCTGGGAGGCCTGGGGCAGTTCATAGGCAACGTTAGGGGGGGGATCGGCTCAGGGTGGTTGGTTTCCAGATCGCCCACCATCGTCAACAGAGCCCCGACAGTTCCAACCTGCCCTCGAGTGCGCGGATTTGCGATCGGGGGCCTACCGCCGATCTATCGGTGATGTGTCGCCAACTCATGCCCGATACTTCCCCTGTTGTGCCATTCGCACCTTACCATTGCCCCTTCGGGAGTAGCGGCATGGGCATCTTCTTGTTCCCCATCAGATCGTTGCTTCGTCTCGCCCTGCTGCCCGCACGCTTGTCCTCTCCCCTCGCATGCCGGCGCCCAGCCGAGCAACCCGAAGTCGTTCTCCAAGGCGCAGCCATCGGGCTGGGGCTCGGAGCCAATGATCGGGTCGGACGACATGGAGGGATATCAGAAGAGTCAGACGCTGCATATCCATCATCTCTCGTAGCTCCGCGCAGATTTCTTGGATCGGCGCTGGGCCCTTCCTGGCGGCACCAGCTGCGATGACGGATTCGTTAACCTCCTCCTGACTATCCCATCCCCTCCTTTCGTCTGAGACTTTGAACTGTCAACTCTGAGTTCTTGGATCGGCGCTTGAACCCTTGCGACGCCTCTGGCGCCGCACCTGGCGCGTTCCGCGCGCCAGGGAGGGGGGCCGAGCGCCGATCCAGTAAATCCGTGCGGACTTTCGAAGTTTATGTATGCGGGTAGATATTCTTCCAGATGCATCATGCCAAGTTGTGAGAGGCCGTGATGATGCGAATTGGGCATGCGTGCGCTCACCAGAGAGTTCTGTTGCTCGGCAGGCTCTTGCAGTAAAGCCACAGGCAGCCTGGCTTCTCATTCACTTCCTTCCCGAAGCTAAGGCGCTCTAAGACCCACGAGTATGCTAGAGCTCTATCGAGGATCCCCGAAGGGCTTCAAAAAGTAGGAGAGAGAATGTACACTGACCTGGGTGAGCGGACGAAGCGGCCGCGGTCCTGAGCCGAGCTCTTTCTTTCTTTCGGAGGCGGGCTCTCGCTCTTTCCATGCCCGCCCTCCCTCCTTCTCGCTCGGGCCCGCCTCAAGAGCCCCGAAGGGACATCTTTACAGGATAGTGGGGAGTGCTCTGTGCGACCCTGTCTCTGCGAATGTCCGTGGTGAGCAGTTCGATCTGAGCCTGGCGATAACACAGGCACTGCGAGGGTTCTCGCCTTCTCCTGCAAAACTGAACCTCGTGTGGCAGGAGTCTGCGAAAGCATGCTGCACTCATGCGTTCGCTGCTTCGTGCGAGCTGTCGCTCCCCCCCGGCGGCCCCTGTCGGCTAACTCCCTTTTGGAAAGCTCGTGTTTTTGAGGGGTGTGATTCTGTCCTGGGCTCGACCGTACCCCGCTCAGCTCCGCCAGTGGCCTGCGGCACGAGCCGCCCCTCACTGCACACGGTGCGTCGGATCGCGGGGCCGTGGCGGACGAGCACACGCTGGCGCCTCCACGCGCTCTGAGGATCGACGGGGAGGAGGGAGGAGGGAGGAGGAAGGGAGGAGGGAGGAGGGAGGAGGGAGGAGGGAGGAGGGAGGAGGAAGGGAGGAAGGAGGGAGGAGGCAGGAGGCAGGAGGCAGGAGGCAGCTGCGCTCGCCTTCCACTTCTCTTCCTTGCACCCCTGGGCCCGGGCGGAGAGGCCGCCGCTGCCTCCAAAGTGAGCGGGAACAGCAAGTTCGTCGTCCCGGGCGCGCCCCGCGGCCCCTCCCCTCGCCCGCGGCCTCGCGCCCCAGACCCCCTCGAGTAGTGAAGGAATCATGACGGGAGGTTTTTCGCCATTTTCAGCCTCTGGGGGCCCTCACCGGGCCTCGGGAGCGTCAAAAAACGACTTCTTGATGACAAACCGGTCCTGGGGAAGGGGTCGAGAACTCTGGGGTCGACGTAATGAACAAATCATTACGTCGGGGGTCTGGGTCCCGGGCTCCCGCCGCCGCCGCCGCGCTCCGGCAGAAGAGCCTCCGCGCCGTCGCGCCTGTGGAGCCCTCGTCGTGCGCTGCGCGAGGCCCCCGACGCTCTCAGAAGCGCTCGCTGGTCCTCGGAGGCCTGCTCGGCCGGGGCTGCTTCCCAGCGGCCGTACCTTGCCGAGATTGTTCTGCCCTTGCTCGAACAGTTCTGACTGGCCGCGGTAGGCCCGAACGGTGGCCCAAAAGCCACTCGGAGGAGGGAGGACTGAGGCCCCCTCGCGTCGTAACAAAAGTCACCACTATGCAGGGCCCCTAACAGATTTTCGGCCTCTGGGGTCCCTCGTCGGGCCAGGGGGGGGGGCTCGAAAAAACGTGCCCAGGATGACAAACCAGCCTTGGAGAAAGGGCTGGGGCTTCGGTGGATCCTGTATTGAAGAAAGCAAGACATCGGATGTCTTGGGCGTTCATTTGCAATAGCAACCCTTACCCTGCGGGTCAAACCGACGATGGGGTATCTGACACACCCGTTGGGTTCCACTTGGCCGCAGACGTGCTTCACATTCCGCGCCCCTCCTGAAGGACTTCGCCCTCTGCCGCCGGCCCCCCCCCCCCTCAGGCTGCTTGCACGCTGGGTTGGTAGGTTGGTTGGCTTAGCTGCCTCGATACGCCCGTTTTGATACGCAATACGTCCCGTGTTGAAGACGTCCGTGTCAATACGTTGCATGTTGGCTCCGCGTATTGGGCCACGTTTTGGCGCATGCATCGCGTCGGACCTGCGTTTGCAGCCTACGTGTTGAGCTCCGTATCAGTACGCTACGTGTTGCGTGTTGCGTATCGGGGCAGCTAGGTTGGTTGGTGTTCTTGTCGACTGGCGTGCTGGCCATTCGCGCGCGTCTGCAGTCATCAGTGAGGGATGCCGCTGGAGCGCGCGCCCGCTCAAGCTGACATGGGGTCGAGGCTTCGGGAGCGCGCACCCCTAGCTATCCACGAGGGTTCGGGGCCTCGGGCCCCGAGGAGAATCCTCAGGAAACGACGGGGGGGCCGAGAAGCGTCCCCCACTAGGCACACGAATGCCCGACTTCAGAACACTGCAGCGTTTCTGCTCGTGAGAGGGATAGCGTTTCTTTGGGGGGGCTCAACGCGGCGATGGGGGAACTCATTGGCGGCCTCAGGAAGATCGTACGCCGCGCGCTGAAGCCTGCGGGAGAAGTGGATACACGCTGCGAATCGGGATACTGAGAGCCTAATGGCGGCGGAAAAGACAAGACGGGATGCGGCGCGCGCGGGGCCAATCTCACCAGGCGGGGCACGTCGCTTAAACAAGAGTCCGTCATCCGCATCGTAGACGGCCTCTGCGCATCTCGCTGACTACCTGCGCGCTCACGTCATGCGGCTGAAGCATTTTCCGCAGCCCGTAACTAAGACGAGCGATGCCCGACTCTGATCGCGCTGCACGAAGTAAAGTCTGGTTCGGCACCGCCTGAAGCCCTCCGAGGTATCCGAGGACTAGGGGCCGTCCATCGGAGCATCGTTGACCATCGACTCGGAATCGGCATGCAAACCTGTGTCGAGCAAGGGCCTACATATCCGACCGAATGTGCAGTTCTAACACGCAGTATTTGGATACGGGAATCGACGGAATGAGACGTTCCACATGACGCGCAGTCGCGTGGCTCGCCTAACTTGTCTGCAGGCGAACATTCAAACATGCGACAAGTAGCATCGACAGAGTGTTGTTGCTGGAGGTAATGTTGGTGTATATAGGTTTCGATACGCGGTCCAGACGTTGGCCCCTTTCCGTGGCCACACCTCTGGATTGGGGGTGCAATGCAACAACGCGCATGGTCTCATGCTGCTCATGTGAAGGAAGGCTGCGCTCCTACCTGTTGGGCGCGCTTCTCACCTGCGAGGCGAGCTGTGCTCCTATGTGTTGAGCATGCTCCTCACCCCACCTGTACGCCGCCAGCCTACTCGCCTTCCCTGTCTCTTTACTTGCGCCACGAGAAGCCGATGAAGCGGTGATGCTGGCCCCGCTGTTAGCAGCCAGCTGAGCGGTCATGTTCGTCCCGATGCTGGCCGAGCAGGGCTGCCGCGCCCCATCATCGCGGGGCGCTTCTCCGACGCCTTTTCGGCCAGGAACGTTCCTTGTATCGCATCGGTCTACCTCGCCCTGTTGCGCAATTGCTCAGGACATGTTTGTCCTTTGATCTGGCTGCGGGGGCCCGTTTTGCCCGTCGTCTCTTCACATTATTACACGCCGGACGTTGAAAGTAGGTATTTCTGGATTCCCACATCCCAATTTACTTCAAGTACCTTCCTACTTCAAGAATCGCCTTGCGGTTGCTCTGTTTTGTTATTCTCTGGGAGTGCCTGGACCCAATCCACTTTATCCGCCTTCCTACTTCATGTTTTTACCTACTTCTTTCGACCGACGTGTATTGTCACTCCTCTGCGTGTCTTACTTTGCGGGATATGCACGCCCATCTTTGTCTTCTCAGGATAGGCTTACATAGTATCATCCTGCCGCCGTTCGGATTCGGGCGCCGAAAGGCGCGCGCGCCTTGCGCGCCCGGACGTTTTGCTGTCGTCCCTTGAGGGGAAACATGCCAATATTCTTGCGCCCTCTTTGGACCGTCTTGAGAGCCTCTTGAGGCTCTCTTGGCCCGTCTAGGGGCTTTCGTGGCTCCGGAAATTTACGCGCCACCACGCGACGTCGCCCACGAGCTGCGCGGGGAACCCCAGGAGATGTGGCAATTTAGGGTCCGGGCCCGAACAAAATCTCAGGGTTGAGGACTGAAGAAACCATTCGAGGGCACGGTGGTGAACTTGTACACACGTATGAATCTATGTGTATTGTACATGTATTTATACATAGAGAGATCGATATATACATATATATATATGCATGCAACTATACATGATTCTTCGCCAGCGTGGACCCCAAGCAGGGATTCCTTGGAATCAACGGGGTGCTATCTAGACGGTGCTATCAACGTGGTGCAATCTAGGTGGTGCGATCCGCGTAGTGGGTCCATTTGGCACAGAGCAATGCACAGCAATGCAAAGCAACGCAACGCAAAACAATGCAAATCAACTCAACGCAAGTCGCCGCAATGCTAAGCGAGGCTGGGCGGAGCAACGCAATCCAAAGTAACGCAAAGCACTGTGATCCAATGCAAAACATGGCAGAGCGCCGCGAAGCGATTCAAAGCAATGGGGATCAGTGCGACGCAGTGCAACGCATTCCAAAACGATGCAAAGCAATGTTCTGTAAAGCAAATTCATGCGATGCAGCACGGTCTAAAGTAATGCGCAGTTATGCAAAGCTTGCCATGCGAACGGGCGGCGGGGACGGACGGAAACGGGGAAAGGGGCCGCCAGGCCACCAGACGGGCCCATCTCCTTCAAAGAGAAGTAGGACCCCCTAAGTGCAAACTCTGTTTGGGGAAACGTGTGTACTGTTAAAGGAGCTTCGTGGCTGCGAAGCCAGGTCCTGTTTGCTTTGCTGCCGAGGTGTGTGGCGGACCCATCAAGAACCCGGCTCAGCCATCTGACTTCAATTCGAGGACGGCTTGATGTTCCGAGTTCCGGGTGTACGGGGTCATCGGTTAAGTCCACCACAGCATAGAGCGATTGAAACAGCACGGCTCGATGGCCCCATCTGTGCCCCGCCGGGGCTGATGAAATCGAGCCGTGCTGGAGGGCCAGACTTGCGATCGCGTCAACGGGCGAGCGGACGTGCGCGCTCGACGGAGGTATGTGCAGAGCAACATGCGTAGTGTGGGATCGGGTTTAGCATGATGTTCAGCACACACACACACGAACACACACACACACACACACATTCGCGCGCGCAGTTTTCTCCGCCAGGTGTTGCCGAGCTCGTGAGCAAGTGGAGCATCGAGGATGCAGTACTCGCCTCAGCTTCGAAGACGGCGCTGCCCCGTTCAGTCCGAGGCGAGTTGCAACCCGCGGGGAGATCCGAACAGCGACCTCGCCTCATGCTTGCCGGCACCTGGAGGACGGCGAGGACAAGGAATGACCAGTTCCTCCTTCTGCTCTCCCCCTGGAAAGGAGGATGACCAGGATCTGTTACCCCATGGACGTGCTGCCCACATCATGTGAGGACGCAGTGCTTCGCCAAGGCCAGCCTTACGTCCTTGCCTCTTCGCCCCATCCCCAGCGACAGGTCCAAGAGATGCTGTCCTGGTGCCGCCGTAGTTGTTTTTCCCGCGGACGTCCAGAGGTCTTGCGCCCTTGCCAGGGGTCTTCACTGTTGCGCAGAACTCGGATATCCTGGCTGAGATTACGAGGCCTTCGCTTGGAGAGTTGGCGGTGAAGTTCTCTGGGGAGGGTTCCTCAGCCTCAGACTCGAGTGCCAGCGATGTACACAGATGGCCTAACAGCTGGTGTCCCATGGTAATTTCTCATGCGTTGACAGGCGCAGACTCCCCAAGGTCCAATATCACCGCACAACGCGCGCCTAATCTCTTCTAGTTGCAACTTCTCGTTATCGAAGAACGTTTTGGCCAGAGCTCGGCCCGGCTATCGGATCATGTGTCCCCCCCAGCCGTTGTGGAAACCTTTCGGGGAACATGCGTGGGATGAAGAGGATAATGAGGAGAAGGACGGCAGGGAGTATGATGATGCTGATGATGGTGATGATGATAATGATGATGATGGTGATGATGATGATGGTGATGATGATGATGATGATGATGATGATGATGATGATGATGATGATGATGATGATGATACTGATGATGATGATGATGATGATGATGATGCTGCTGATGATGATGATGATGATGATGACGACGATGATGATGATGGATGAGGATGATGGATGATGATGATGCTGCTGATGATGATGATGATGATGATGATGATGCTGATTATGATGATGATGGTGATGATGATGATGATGATGATGATGATGATGATGATGATGATGATGATGATGATGATGATGATGAGGATGAGGATGATGATGATGATGAGGATGATGATGCTGATGATGATGACGAGGAGGAGAAGGTGGAGGAGGAGGAGGAGGAGGAGGAGGAGGAAGAAGAGGTGGAGGAGGAGGAGAAGGAGGATGACGAGGATACCTCTCGGGAGCCTCTTGGGGCACTCGTTGGGCGTCCTGGGGGCTGGGGGTCTTGAGGACGCCTCTTGGGGGGCCTCCTTCGGCCGTTTGGGGGCCTATGGGAGCTTCTTTGGCAGTCTTAGGGCGTTCCTGGCCCGTATGACCCCGTCGGACGCCGTCTTCGGGGCCTCTCTGGGCCATCTTGGGGCCTTTGGGAGCGCTTCAGGGCTGTCTTGGAACTCTCTGGGGCCTCTTGGGCCGCCCTGTGGGCCTCTTGGGAGGTCATGGGTCCATCTGGGAAGTATTTTGGGTGATTTGGTGTGGCGATTTTGGAGGCCTCTTGGGCAGTCTTGTGCCGTCGGAAAGCGGAAACGGAGCAACTGTCAGAATCCGTCAATCATATTTTTGTGAAAGTCAATGATATTGGCCTCTTCGGGCCTTTCTGTATGTCCTGTTTGGCCGCCCTGGTGGCCTCGTGGGGGCTGTTTAGGCCGTCTTGAGGTCATTTCAGGTCGTCTTCGGTACATTTCGGACCGTCTTGGAGACATCTTGTGGTCATCTTGGGCTCTTTTGAACCATATCGGCCGTCTTGGAGGCCATATTGGCAATCTCAGGAGCCTCTTGGGCCGGCTCTGAGTCCTCTTGTAGCCGTCTTGGTGGTCTTTTTGGGCCGTCATGGGGCCATCTTGGAGGGCTCCTGGTCGCTCTTGGGGCGATCTTGTGGACGTCTTGGGCCGTCTTGGGCCGTCGGAAGGCCGACAAAGAGCAAAATCCCAAAACATTCAAACACCTTCGACACAAGTCAGCGATGTTGACTCCTTCGGGCTTTCCTGTATGTCATCTTGGAGGTCGAGGTCATCTTAAGCCGTCTTGGGTGCATCTTTGGCCGGTTGGGAGACATATTGCTGCCATCTTGGACTCTCTTGGGGCATCTTGGCCGCCTCGGAGGCAATCTCGAGCGTCTGGGTGGCCTCTTGGGCCGTCCTTGGGCCCTCTTGGGGCCGTCTTGTGGGCGTTTTGGGCCGCCGTCATGGGGCCATCTTGGAGGCCTCTGCGGCGATCTTCGGGGGATCGTGCGGGCTATTGGGCCGTCTTGGGCAGTCGGAAGGGCGAATATGCGCAACAACCAGCAACCTTCAAAACCCTAGGGACCATCAATTATTGTGGCTTCTTCGGGCATCCCTGTAGGTCCTATTGCTTCGTTGGCCGTCTTGGAGGCCTCTTGGGGGCTTCTTGGGCAGTCTCGGGTCCCATCTTGAGGTCATCTTAAGAAGTCTTGAGAACATCTTGGGCCGTCTTGGAAGCATCTTTTGGCCATCGTGGGCTTTCTCGGGGCCGTCTTGGAGGCTTCTCGGGACCGTCTTGGATGCAGTCTCAGGCCATCTTGGCAGTGTTGGATGCGATTTATCTATGGTAGGTGAGTTTTGAGGAGCTTTCCGGTTGGCCCCGGGTTCGGCCGAACTGTCGGTAGGAATTGTGTTCTATATATATATATATGTATCACAAAATCTCCCAGACATTTGGCACGACGTGCACCCGTGTGGCAAGACCACAGGGGGCGGCCGATTTAATGGCCTTTGGCCCATCCCGCCACCATCGTGCTTGGGTTGTGGGTCTGGGGCCTCTTGGATAGTCGTTGGGATCTCGTCGAGACCTCTCGGGGGTCTCCTGGAGGCAGTTCTGAGGCCTCTGGGGGCTGTTTTGGAGCCTCGTGGGGCTTCTGTTGCACCTCTTGGGGCCTCTTGGGGCCTCTTGGGGGCCTCTTGGGGACTCTTGGAGGCCTTCAAGCTCGAAACGTGGAGAACCCCAAACACGTTGGAAAACTTTTGAGGAATCAAGGATATTGGCCTCACGAGGACCTCTTGGGAAGGCTCTTAGGGCTCTCTTCGGGCGCGTCGCGTCGAGGGCTTCTTGGGCCGTCTTGGGGCCATCTCGAGCTTCTTGGACCGATCGTGCGGCGATTCGGGGCCGGACCGTCTTGGGGGCCGCTCGGGGCACTCCTGGCCCGTCTTGGAGCCCACTTGGTCGCGAACACATCATGCGGGAAGCTGCAATGCGCCACTGAGGGCAGACGGGAACCCAGGAAGCTTTGTGAGTTTGGGATCCGGGTCCCTTGAAGAATCTTCAGGCTTGAGGGACTGTGGCTCCAGGAGATTGGGTTAGGAACCTGCGGACACTCCAACTCGTGCCTCAAGGCCACGGCGGCGGATTTTTCGCCATGAGTGAACATCAGTTGAGCGGAAGATCGGGACAAATCGGAACCAGAGATTCTTGGAAAGTTCCAAAGAAAAATAGAACGCCGATTTGTGGAGCGTAGCGGCTGTAGCGCGCGCATTCGCAGAAGTTCCCAAAGAGTGTTCGAGGGCTTGAGGAGCCCAAGTAACACATGGGCGCTCAATTAAATTGTTGAGGGCGGGCAGAACATCTGGTGTGCACGAGCATTGTGAGCGGGTGCGCGGCTTGCACGGGGGGCACAGTAGGTTTGCGTTCCAGGGACTTGGGCGCTGGCCAAAGCGCTGATGGGGGGCCCGAGAATGCGTCACACATATTACGCCTGTGGCGCCATGGAGGCCGCATTTGCGGTTGCAGTTGGGCGGGCGCCCCGCCGCGCGCACCGTGGCGACAGCTCTCTTGGGCGCCCGCCCGCCGCCGTGGACGTAGTGGACCCAGCTAGTCTCTGGGTCGGCGCGCGGCGGGTCGGCAGCCACGACGCTGGCGGCCTGAAAATGCTTCGAAAGTGTTTCTCCCCGAGCCCGGGGCTATTGTACGCTTTCGATGGCAAGCGCAGCTCGGAGAAAAATCGCCATGTCCGTCGGCGGCCAGTTGGCTGTCGTCGCGCAGAAATACCGGCGGATGGCGCGGTCCACGCTCAGCGCAGAGAGCGTGTCCATGAGCGTGGACTCGTCGAGGGGCAGGAGGAAGGACCTCGCGGTCGGGACCATCGCGGCCCGCGATGTCCACGGCCCCCACCCTGGGCGCGCGAGGACCTGCTGGGCGCCGCCGCAGCGCGATTTCAGAGGATCTCGGAACCAGAAATCCGGGCGCGCCAAATTTCGCGGGCCGAAAAACTCTCAGAGAGTTTCGGCCAGCTCCGAGGTTTTGGGTTTATGGGAATGTTTCACGCGGGGTGGCTAGTTCAGAGATTTTCAGAGATTCTCAGAGAAGTTCGGACGCGAGAATTTGGCGCGCCCCGGTTTCTGGTTCTGTGAATCTCTGAAAAGCGGTTCCTTAGGTTTTACCGGGTCTCCAGGCGTCTTACTGTCAGCCACAGACGAGCGACTGGCTGGCGCCGCGCCCGATGCTTCCGGAGTTGCGAACTCGGTCTTCGATTCCCTGGGGCCCGCGGGCCCCTGGGCCAATTGCGAGGTTGCCGAGGCCCCCAGGCGGTTGCGCGCGATTGTCTCGGAACCGGAGTTGGGCATCCATGGTGGACGCCCGCGCGCACGCGCTAGGCGCCCGCGAGATTGTTCGGTGGCGGATCTTGCATGGCGCGGGGATTTTCCAAAGACTTTTTCGGGGTGTTCTCAACGGTTATTTCGGCGCGCTTCGGGAACCTTGGGGCGGCGCGGGGAAGTCGTCTGGCCGCGCGCGTGACTTTTTTTCCAATGCCTTCTTGGGCATTATCGCGGCGTTGCTTGGCCGAAGAGGTCACTGAGTAACGCGATGTTTGACATTTTCGTGTTTTTTCGTTGCGTTGGTTGCGTGATTGTTTTGGCGGTCCGCCTCCTTGGGGCCCCCTTTGGGCTTCAAGTTTGTTTTGTTGACGTCGGGCCTTCTGGAGTGAAAGGCGCTTGGCGCCGAATTTCCTCGGTCGTGCGCGTGGCCAAATATGCGCCGTGGCTTCATCCGCGCCGGGGCGCTTTTCTTCCCTCGCGAAGCCGATGGCGCCCAAGGCGTGGCAGGCCCGTTCGGCGGCGCCCCCGGTGATTTGAAAAACCGAGCATGGTTTTTATCCCGGTCAAATTTTGCCCCGATCCCGGCTTCATCTTAGAACATGCGCGTCGTTCATTTCTAATTCTTCGAAAGGTCTTTGATTTTCGGGGGGCCAAGGTCCTTTCATTTCTAGTTGTGCTATCCTGGGCCTCTTCCTGGCCACTAGGGGGGCCAGGACCAATTAGAAACGAACACAATTTAGGAATGAGCACGATGAGACATGAACGACGTGTACTGCCTGAGGAAAGCGGGTCCTGTGACCCCGCATGTCTTCCCCAGGGCCAGTTCGTCGTGCTTCGCCGTTGACGGCCCCGGGCCCGTGGCGGCCCCCACGTGGCCCAAAACCCGCGAGACGACATCCAGGACCTCTTTCTGCCAGGACCCGTCCCCCTTCATGCCAAGCGTGGGAGGGAGGACGATGCAGCAGGCACGCCAAACAAGACGCCAGCCTGTCAGCAGGTGCCCTGACGAGGCTTCTCGATTCAAGAGAGGCTTGCACCATTCCGCCGACCCCCATACCGGTGAGCTTGTCAGGAGTCGTGCCACCGTGCCTGGCCTGTGAGTCAGGAGCCTCGGGGATGCGTAAGTAAGAGGGTCTCCTGGAATGCCTTTCCGGAAACTCTTGGAGGGCCCTCGGGGGCATCTTGATTGGCTCTTAGGGGCCTTTTGGGGGCCACTTGGTTGCTTCGCGGGTGCCTCTTGGAAGCCTCGTGGGGCCTTTTCAGGGGCGCCCTGGGGTCATTGGGGGGCTCTTGTGGCCCTCACGGCGGGGAAGGTTCAAGACTTGAATTCGTATTGCCTTTTGGGGCCTTCTTGGCCGTCGTAGGGCACCTGGCGCGGTCTTGGGGCCCTCTTGGGCCCTCTTGGCGGTCTATTGGGCCGTCTTGGGGTCCTCTTAGGGGCCTCGTGGGCCGTCGTGCGACGATCTTTGGGGCCCTTTGGGCTGTAGTGGACGCTGCCAGGACCAACAAGGCGCGCATGTCCTCGATGGCCTTCGCGGACCAGAGAAATTGTGCAGCACCTCGGGGAGTGCGAAGTTCGACGACACACGTGCGTTTTGATTCATCATGTCAGCATTTCTTGTCGTATGTGTCTGCTGTTGGCAGGCGCCCCGACACAACGCCTGCCGCCTCGCCTGGCCCTGAGGTCGCGCAGCTGCTGGACGCGCAGCTGAAGCAGCGGCGGGCCACGTACGAAGGGGACCTCGAGACCCTCGAGGAGGGGAGGCGGGAGAAGGAGGATGTAGCCTCGGCGCAAGGGAGTCTACGAAGACAACAACGACGATTATGACTACGACTAACGACCACGACAAGCGACGTCGAGGCCGACGATGACGACGACGACGACGACGACGACAACGACGATGGCATGACCACGTTGACAATGATAAACGACCACGAAGAGTGACGTTGAGGACGATGGCGGCAAGGTCGCGGGCGGCCCGACGCCGCCGGAGGCGGGTGCGTCCAAGTCTTTCGGTCTTCTCGTGACGGGAGTGCGATCAAAAGGGGGTGATGGTGTCGAGAGTTGCAGGACAAGGGCCTCTAACAGGAAGGCCCCCTGGGGCCCCGACGCTGCACGAAAGGTGCACCTTCCTGCCCCCGCCTCTTCCGTTGCCTCCCTCCCATACAGCGACGCCCGAGTCGTCCCGAGCACCGCCGACGACTGCGGCCGAGGCGAGGCGCGCTGCGATCTGCACCGAGGCAACCGCCTCGGGAGAGGTCCCGACGCTGCGAGGGCTGGCGCACGGCACACCTTTGAGCGGCGCCGCGGACGCCGCAGCCATCCTCGAGCGCGGGCACCCTCCTCTCTCCCAGAGGACCAGCGCGTCGCCGAGAAGGGCCAACCTGACGTTTGACAAGGGGCCTCGCTGTGGGTACAGGCGGCCCGGATGAGTAGGTCGACCCTGCCAGATCAAGGGTACCCTCGTGTCCTGTGTCTCGCGACCCATGCCTCCTGCATTCCTGCGGCAACGCGGCCCTCGGAAGGGTCTTGTGTCTTCTCTCGTGTCCTGTCCAATCAAGTCCGACTATAGAACCCCCCCGTGCTGTTGGGAAAAAGTGGGGGCTCCTCAGAAAGGGAGAGAGCGGCCCACTGAGAGTGAGCCTCGTGGCGACGAGAGAGCGCTCGCGCTGCGCTCACTGCCACGCGAAGCTCTGACCTCCGCCGACCCCCGACAGCCCACGATGGCGCAGTACGAGGAGGAGGAGGAGGAGGAGGAGGAGGAGGAGGAGGAGGAGGAGGAGGAGGGTAGCGGAAGAGGAGCAGCAGAGTCGAGGATGTATGGTCGCGTCCTGAAGAAAGTCGGGAGGGTTATCCTCGCCTCGCGGGTGCACCGCGTCGTCGTGTGTCGCAGCTCCTGGCGCTGGGTGGTTGTGCGCGGCGGGGATCGAGAGGGAGCTGTCGGCGGGGTTGGCGACCCCCCGGCGCGGGGGAGGAGGATCGATCATCAAGGATGTGTGAAGAGGACGATGAGGATCCCTGAGGATCGAGGAGGGTCGAGGATAGAGTATCACGTGGAATCGCGAGGATGATGAGGATGAGGATGATCGAGGATGCTTGACCCTATCCGTATGCTGCCCCTGAGGTCCCTACCCGGATTTCTGGGGTCCGGCACCGAGTTGGATAGCTTGTGCCCGTGTCTCCTCCCGCAGTTTTGGGCGTGCAGTGCTGCGAGATCTGCGGCGGTGGGTCGCTCGGCGCGTGGAGCAGCTGCCCCCCCCCCCTCTCCTCCTCTCCTCCTCCCTCTCTCTCTTCCGCCCTCCCTCGCATCCGCCAGGGCGCGCGGGGCCCCCGATGCCCGATCGATCTGTCCCCAGACGTGATGCTGGCCGTTCCTTCGTTCCTCGGAGGGTGGGACGCTCTGCACGTCAAGCCTCTGCCTCGTCCTGGCCGTCATGCCCGTTCCGGCATCCCCCGCACCCGGTTCGTGGCCCCATAGAGTTGACATGGCTCAATCCCCGCCCTCTCCCGCCGCCGCCGCTGTCGTCATCAGATGTTGCCGCTGAACATAGGGCATCATGCAGCCGTACCTGGCTGCAGGTAGGTGCACAAAAGGGGCGCGCCGACGTCGTCTTTCGTCGCCGGCCGGCCTGGCCCCTGCCTTACCATATCTACCTGTACGCCTCCGCTCGGCGGGCTTGTGCTTAAGCCATGTCGGACTCTAGGGTGATCCAGCCTACTGAAGAGATAAAACCAATGACGAGATTAGACCAAGTCAAGCACAATGCCAACATATTCCGGCCCTCCGGCACATAAATCATGAGGAGCTTCACCGCGGCACCCAGATGGAAAATGCTTTGTATTGGGATATGTGTTCGGGGGGCGCTTTTTCGCCCCCCCCCCCCCCGTGATGGTTCGTCTCCTGGACCCTTCTGTCGACCCTGTTCCGCAGCATGAATGTAGCCCACTAGCCCACTGGAGGCCGATCGGCGCAGTAGTGCCGCCGTCTTGAAGCTCTCGCTGAGCTCTCTAGCTGATGGAATGGGCCTCGACCCTCCAGGGGGCAACGAAAACGGCGAAATGGTGAGGGAAGGGTCTGCTTACCCCCCCTTCGAGGAGATGATGAACGAAACGAAGCTGCCGAGCGCGACGCTCATGCTGAAGATCAAGGATCCGACGGCACCTCGCGCCGCTCCCCGCGGCGGCCTCCGCGCGCGCCGCGTGGCCTGGCGATCGGGACGGGGAGGACGAGGAGGAGGAGGAGGAGGAGCAGGAGGAGGAGGAGGAGGGGGATCATTGGGAGATGGAGGAGGAGGAGGAGGAGGAGGAGGAGGAGGGAGGAGGAGGAGGAGGGAGGAGGAGAGGAGCAGGAGTAGGAGAGAGGAGGAGGAGGAGGAGGAGGAGGAGGAGAGGAGGGAGGAGGAGGAGGGGGAGGAGGAGGAGGAGGGGGAGGAGGAGGAGGAGAGAGGAGGAGGAGGAGAGGAGGAGGAGGAGGAGGGGAGGAGGAGGAGGAGGAGGAGGAGGGAGGGAGGAGGAGGGGGGGGAGGAGAGGGAGGATTGGGAGAGGGAGGAGGAGTAGGAGTAGTAGGAGGAGGAGGAGGCGGAGGAGGAGGCGGAGGAGGAGGAGGCGGAGGATGAGGCAGAGGAGGAGGAGCAGGAGGAGCAGGAGGAGCAGGAACAGGGTCAGGAGCAGCAGCAGGACGAGGGGAAGCAGAGGCTGACCAGGGGTGTGGGGTGGGAGGTAGGCATGGGAAGGGGGGCGGGCCTTACACAGGCTCCGCGGGCAGAAAGAAGGGGCCTGTTTTTGCTGCCGCAGGAGGCACTGCACAGCACATGCCGCATGGACGCAACAAAGAAAATTATTGGGTGGCTCTCCTCTCTCCCCTTCCCCCCCCGCTTTGCCCCCCTCCTCCCCGTCTGCCTTCTCGGGAGAGAGGGGCGGAGAGTGGACAGGGAGGGGAGGTGGTTGTCGGGGTGGGGGGTGGGTGCGGGCGAGCGAGGAAAGGAGGAGGGGGAGGAGCGGAGGAGGGGGAGCAGAATGAGGATGAGGATGAGGATGATGATGAGGAGGAGGAGGAAAAGGAGGAGGAGGATCATGACGTTGCGGAACCGTGGGTTGGTGAGACAAGTATTGGAGGCGGAGAAGGAGAAGGAAGAGGAAGAGGGTGATGACGATGCTCCTGATGATGGCGGTGATGATGTAGATGAGGATGAGGATGAAGATGAGGATGAAGGTGGGCATGAGGATGGTGTTCGCCTGTTGCGTCAGCCCACTGCAGCCGAGGAAATGCAGCAGGGGACCTTCGTGGGGATGCCAGCTAACCACAAAATGATCGAGGCGCTCGCGGCGAAGTTCAAGCTGGACGAACAGGCCGTGGAGAAGCTCACGGATCTTCCAGCCAGTCAGAGGAGGAGGAGGAGGAGGAGGAGGAGGAGGAGGAGGATGAGGAGGAGCAGGAGGAGGAGGAGGAGGGGGATCATTGGGAGATGGAGGAGGAGGAGTCGGAGGAGGAGGAGGAGGAGGAGGAGGAGGACCAGTGTAAATCCAGGACGCGTCGACGGTGTGTGACACTGCCGCTAGTTGGAGGAGACGGCTTGGGAGGGGCCAGGGAGGAGCCTCCTCGCGGAGAAGAACATCCGGTACCAGACAGCACGGACCTCGCGTCCCTGCGGAAAGCACGCGTGAACTGGCTCGCCTGATCCAGATGTGTAAGACGTATTGAAAGCGGTCGGCGCAACAAGAAAGGCACAAGGAGACGCGCAACATGAAGACTACATGACACCCTTCCCTGAAACCTGACCTCCTCCCTGGGAGCGCCTGCCTGGTGTACCTGAAGCACATAAAGGGGAACGGGCGCAGCACGAGCGCACGGGCGCGCCGCGCGGCTCGCACAGGAGGCCCAGGAGGAGGACGAGGGGCAGGAGCAGGAACAGGAGGAGGAGGAGGAGGAGGAGGAGCAGGAGGAGGAGGAGGAGGAGGAGGACGAGCAGGAGCAGGAATATGAGTAGGATCGTGAGGAGGAGGAGGAGGAGGAGGAGGAGGAGGAGGAGGAGGAGGAGGAGGAGGAGGACGAGGAGCAGGAGCAGGAGCAGGAGCAGGAGCTGGAGGAGGAGAACGAGTCGGAGGAGGAGGAGGAGGAGGAGGATGAGGAGGAGAAGCAGGGGGAGACGGAGGACGGAGGGGGGAGGGGCCAGGACGAGGAGGCCACGAGGAGGACGGCGGAGCGGCTGAGCAGCGTCGGAGTGACAGGTCGGGGTAGCACAGAGCGCGGCGAGAAACACCTGGCTGGGCAGCAGCATCGAGGGCAGCGGCGGTCTGGGGCCCCCAAACGGTGTGGTGACCACACCGCGTGGTGAGTCAGTGGGGAGCCGGGGTCACCCCACTGTTTTGGGACTCGTCTCGTTCTCCGAGACGTCTCGGGCGACTCGGTCCTCCGAGGCCCCAAAAACGTGCGGTGACGGACCGCGCGGTGAGGTCACTGGGGACTCAGAGGTCACCACGCTGTCCGTCACCAGACTGTTTGGGGGCCCCGAAGGCGGGGAGCAGCGCACACAGCCTCTTCTGGGGTTTCGTGCCCCCGCTGGTGCCCCGCTCCACACACCCCTCCTCGGGCCATGACCGTCAGCTGTGGCCGCCTCCCTCCCCAGGCCCCATCGCGTGGAGAAAAGCACGACGGGCGGTTTTTGGCCGTTTTCGGCCTCCGGGTGCCCTCACTGGGCCCCGAGACCGTCATAAAATGACCCAGGACGAGAAACTCGCCTTGGGGAATGGGTCGAGACCTCTGCAGGGGGTGACGTTTTGAAAGTGCCATGGCGTCGAGGGTCTGGGTCTCTCTGTCTCTGTGCATTCCTGCTCTACCTCGTCACCACGCGCCGCGCTCCTGCACCCCGATCTGGCAATCCGGCGCTGCTCACTCGCCTTGCCATCCTTCTCGATTGTCACCTCCTCTTGCCGCCTTCCCTGCCCCCTCCGCTGGTTCTCTTTCTGACTACTCCTGCTCCTGATCCTGCTGCTCCTGACCCTCCTCCTCCTCCTCCTCCTCCTCCTCCTCCTCTTCTTCCTCCTGCTCCTCCTCCTCCTCCTCTTCCTCCTCCTGCTCCTGACCCTCCTCCTCCTCTTCCTCCTCCTCCTCCTCCTCTTCCTCCTTCTCCTCCTCCTCCTCCTCCTCCTCCTCCTCCTCCTCCTCCTCCCCCTCCTCCTCGTCATCACTTCCAGGGCCGCCCCGAAGTCTCGGCTGGAGCGCACCGCGGGCGAGCCATGGAGACCCGCAGGAGTGCTTGGTGAAGCTCGGCAAGGAGCCTGCGAAGAAGTGCCTGGAGGCGCTCGACAAGCACCTGGAGATGTCGAACAAGCCGTCGGCGTTCGTCATGCTGCAGCTCGCCAAGTTCAGGCGCGCCCCTCGCCCTGCGGCTTGGACGGGCGCCTGGTGTCGCACAGGGGGGGCGCGTCCGGTTGACGTATTCCAGCTGCGAAGACGCCGACGCCGACGACGACGACGACGCTGCGCTACTCTTCCTTATCATCCTGCTGCTGCTCCCCCTCCGTGCTCCCCGCCCCTGTGTGAGAAGTTCAGAAGACATGCGCACCTCTGCTCGCTCGGCTCTTGGGGGGGTGCGGGGGACGTTCAGAGCGGAGGGGGGCGCGCGCGTACAGGAGCACTTCGGAGCCGTGCTCCTGCAGAGTCTCCCCGCCACGGGCGGTGCGTGTTGTGACAGGGCTGGACCTAAGCGGTGATTTTGGCGATTTCGTGGGCCGTTTTCGATTCGACTTCGTTTTGCGATAAAGGCGGATTCGAGACAACGGCGAGTGAAAACGACAACCGAACGGAAACGAAAAACACCTTTTAGGTTCAGCCTTGTGCTGTGACAGACGAGCGGCACCCCGGCTCCGAAGCAAAGCCAGGCCTCCAGCCCAGTCGCCAAGGAAGGGGGGTCGTCTGGAGATCGGCGCTGCTGCTGCTGCTGCTGCTGCTCCTCCTCCTCCGCCTCCTCCTTCCTCCTCCTCCTCCTCCGCCTCCTCCTCCTCCTCCTCCTCCTCCTCCTCCTCCTCCTCCTCCTCCTCCCCCTCCTCCTCCCTTTCTAGCTCCCAAACGTTCGGCGCCCTGGCCTGATGTCTCCAAGCGCCTCCCACAGCTCCAGTGTGCGCCTCCCGCAGCTCCAGTATACCCTTCCCGCGTGCCGGGTACGTTGCCAGTCGTGCTGCTGCTGCTGCTGCTGCTGCTCCTTCTCCTCCTCTTCCTCCTTCCTGCCTTCCCCATCCGTTTTCTGTCTCTCGGACCTGATTCTTCGGAGGCAGGCCATTCCAGCCTCCAGCTTCCCCTCTCCATCCCTCCTCCTGCTCCCCTCCTCTCCGTCCAGCTCGCTTGCCGGAAGCCCCAGGGACAGCCCACTTTGTCGAGGCCCCCCGCCCGCGAGGACCCTTCAGGGACTCCCAGGCCTCGCCCCCGTCCTCCTCTCTGTCTGGGCCCTGCCAGAGGAGGTATCCCGGCCCAATGTGGCCGTGGTGGTTCCTCGGGGGCGGCCAGGAGGTGGGCGATGACTAAGGGGGGGTGGATATCATGGCGTGGGCCATGATATTTCATCAGATTTCATGGTGCCTCTTCTTACGTCATTACTTCTCTGGCCTCCCCTTGGCCGCGCACATGCCGCCGGCCATGATTTGCGCCCCCCCCTCTTAGACGCCCCCCTCTTGGCCTCCCCCGAGTTCCATGTGGCTTCCAGGGTAACCCTCTTGGCGGCGCGTACAACGGGATAGCGCGAATGGTGCGGCCTTCGCAGAAGGCAGGGGCCGTCTCAGAAGCCCTTCTGGCTTCTAAGAAGCCTTCTTAGAAGCCGCCAGACCCTTCTAAGGAGGCCCCTGCCTTCAAAGAAGCGCGCCGCCTTCTTGGAAGGCCACCCCCTTCGCGTCACCCCCCTGCGCGCGCCGCCATCCCTCACAGGGCCGTTGCCGCGCTGACACGTATGCGCTGGCGTTTGGCCGGCCTCTTCTGGAGTGCAGGTCGTCTGCCGCATCGTGCCGGTTGCTGCTCTCCGTCGTCGTCGTCGTCGTCGTCGTCGTCGTCGTCGTCCTCCTCCTCCTCCTCATGCCTCCCCCGCGAGCTCTCGCGCTCGTGAGTCACACGGGGATCCAGGAGTGCCTCCCGGGCTCGGGCCCAGCCGCCGCGCCCTCGCGGGGCCGTCCCTCTGCACGTCCATGCCGGCGCCCCGCCTCGCCTCGTCTCGCCTCGACGGGGCCCGGGCGGCCCCGGGGGGACCCGGGCAGCGGCGCGACGGGCGGTGGCCGCCGCGGGCCCGCCTTGCCCCTGGAGGGCTCCGATCCTGCCGAGGCTGTGGCACGAGCGACGAACAGATTCACATCCAGCCCCTGGCGGTCTGGACACCGATCGGGTATGGCCAGGACCCAAGATAAGGGGACCCGGGTAGTGGTAGGGCCCCAGAGCCTGTGAATTGGCCAGAAGCACTGAACCAGGTTTGCCATAGCTTGCGTTTTTTCGGGTGACGCCAGTTCCGGTTAGTGGCGCCCCCGGTACAGATCACTAAACCAGGTTTCACTGAACCCAGTTCTGCCAACGCCCGAACCGAGGCGTGATCCGGGGGATATGCCCGATCCCATGGAGACGTCTGGCGCGGGGCATCCGCGCAAGGCCGCCCTGTATCCGTGTGGCCTCGGCCGAGGAGTCCTGGCCGTGGGGGACGTGGACATGGAAGGTGCCCCTGCCTCCAGCTTTTCGCTCCATTTCGGAGCCCCTGGAGCCCTCTGGGCCTCGTGAGGGGGTTCTCTGGAGGCCGCGTGGGGGCCTCCTCGGAAACCCTGGGGGCACCTCGGGCCACGATTTCCCGCGAGGTTCCAAGGGGGGCCTCCCGAGGCCTCCAGAGTCCGCGGAGGCCTCCCAAGAGGTCCAGCCAGAGTTGGGGACCACCAGGGGGCTCCGTCCTCGATCCTCCCGAGCCACGTTGTCGTGATTTCCCCGTATCCTACGTGCGGGGCCCCATTGATCAGAGTCACGCCTCCGCCTCCTCACGTCACCTCCTCACTTCCCCTCCCCCCCCTCTCGTATCCAGACCCCTCGCTCTCCTGCCGCCTCGGACCCATGAGATATGAAGGGGAAGGCATTGCGCTGTGGAACAATCGCGCCCTCGGAGGTCCAGGTCCCTTCCCTGGGGCCGGTTCTGCATCCAGAGCCGTTTTTTGGGGGCAGCCCCGGGAGGCCTGGCGAGTGCCCCGGGAGGGCGAAAGCGAGGAACACCTGGCCGTCGTGACTCCTGCAGAGTCGGGTGCTGCTAGAAGTGCCCCTGGCCCAAGGTGCCCCCAGCCTGTTCGCACTAGTTTGGAGCCCCTGGGGCCCCCTGGGCCTCGTGAGGGGTGCCCTGGAGGCCGTCTGGGCCACCCCGAGAATCCTGGGGGTGCCTTGGGCCAGGGGTACCTCTAGCAACACCCGGTGCAGGACGAGGGGAGGCCTCGACCGAAACAGCCACGACGTCGGAGGCCTGGGGCTTCACCCCCCCGCGCACCCACGCGGACGAGGGCCCGCAGGGCGGGCGCAGCGCCTCGGGCGTTGCGCCGTGCGGGGCTATGAATTCGGGTGTTGCTAGAGGTACCCCTGGCCCAAGGCCCCCCCCAGGATTCTCGGGGTGGGGCGCAGAGGGCCTCCAGGGCACCCCTGACGAGGCCCAGGGGGCCCCAGGGGCTCCAAAATAGTGCGATCAGCTGGGGGCACCTTGGGCCAGGGGCACTTCTAGCAGCACCCGATGAATGGGTGGGGGGATCGAAGGTTGCAGGAGAGGAGGCCCTTTTCGGGGCCCCCTGGGGCCCCGACGGTGCCACGCATGGTGCACGCCTCTTCGCCCCCCTCTCTTATCATCGTCTGCCCAGCAAGCTCGATGGTCCTCAAGACGTGCGTTCGCCCGATGTGTGTGTGTGTGTGTGTGTGTGTTGCCCCGTCCAGCTCCGCCGTTAGCACGCAGCCCGTGTCAGGCTTCATCCCACCTCCCAGGTCGTACTGAAAGGATCCGGTGCGTTTAAGGATCATCGGTAAGCAGCGCCCATCGGCCGCCCGCGCCCCCGTCTACTGCAGCCCGCTCGCGCCCCCGCGCCCAGGCAGGGCGAGATACTGGGCGAGGTGAAGCACAAGGCCGCGCCAGGCAGCTACCTCTACCAGCAGCAACTGGCCAAGGATTGCCCGGAGGGCCCCATCCGAAGAGTCGCTAACAGAGCGGTTGTCCCTTGTCCTCATCCTTCTCCTCCTCTCTATTCTCCTCCTCCTCCTCCTCCTCCTCCTCCTCACCATTCCTCTCCTCCTCTCTTCCTCTCCTCCTCCTTCTTCCTGATTCCTGCTCCACCCTTCTTCCTTATTCCTTAGACAGTGCTCGCACGTGGCCCTTGCTTCTGTTCCAAGGAACTGCGTCGTGTGTTCGGTCTGGCCGCTGTGTGACCGCCGTCGCCGCCCCGCCGCCGCCTCGTCGCCGCCCGTTGTCTGGGCCGTGGCTTCGGTCTGGCGGCTATGTGGCCGCCTCGTCGCCGCCCCGCCGCCGCCTCGTCGCCGCCCGTCGTCTGGGCCGTGGCTTCGGTCTGGCGGCTATGTGGCCGCCTCGTCGCCGCCCCGCCGCTGGCCATCGTCTGGGCCTGCGCGTCGGTATGGCGGCTATGTTTTCGCCGTTGCCGCTCGTCGCCGCCGTCGCCGCCCGTCGCCGCCGTTAGAATTTCTTTTCGCAGAGAGAATTAGGATCTCCCCCCAGGGACTTAACGGCTCACCTTTTCGCATTGCAATTTGCATATGATTCTGCCCCATCGTGCATCATAAATATACACTCGTACCATCCCCGTTTAACCGTTATCGGCCCCCCCCATCATCCTTCGCAACACATAGTATGCGCGCGCACTCGTTTATCATAATCTAGCATTTTTATACTATCTTGCCAAAGCGCGGGGCAAAGTGCAAACGCGCGCGTCGTCGCGCGCGCATGCCGAAATCTTCAAGACATTTAAGTGTCGTGCGGCTTTACAAACGAATGCCCAAACAACATATCAAACCACATGGTTTCGCAGCACGGATTTCCAACACAAAACTTGCGCGCGCGAGTTTTTGAGCAAATAGTTGTTTCCAACGTGTTTGGGATATCCTACCAAACGGGCATGGCACGCGCATGCGTGAATCGTTCAAACGTCCTGGCGCGCGTGTTGTCACGAAAACCCATTGCAGCAATTTTGGACGAAATGCACGCGCGCGTTATCGCGGTCGCATGCCGAAATCTCCAACAAAACCGTAACTGCCGTAAGGATTTCGAAACCGACAAACATGTGGCTTCGTCGCAACAGTTTTCAAAACAACCTGCGCTCGCGCTGTTGCGATTTGTATGTAAAATATGGGTTGTCCAACATGTTCGCTGAGTTCTGCCAAACGGGCCTCTCGCGCCGCATGTCGAAATCATTCGAACTCCCTTGCGCGCGTGCTGGGGGTGGCACGGGCCGTTTCAAATAACACCATGCGGGCCAGTCTCGCGCGTCGGTCGCGCGCGCATCGCGTGTCGACCTCCCTCCACAACCTTCATCACCGACGCGAGGACGCCGCCATCGTCGCCGGCGTGATCCGCATCGGCGCCGTCGCTGGCCGTGCCGTCGTCGCTGTCAACACCGTCACCAGCATCGGCGGAGCTGGTGATGATGATAGCAGCGATGCCATCGCTGCTATCATCATATCATCGTGTCTACCGTTGTCAACGTTGCCGTGATACTGCGCCCGCCCAAGTCACCGACTCGCACGGAAGTGCCCGTTGGGATGCGCCGAGCGGTCTTCGACAACAAACTTGCGCGCGTGCCCTTGCGAATCTTTTAAAAACCCGAGGTTGTTCAACATGTTCAGAACATGCAACCAAACGTGTTACGCGTTCGCGTCGAAATCGTTCGAATGCCCTGGGGCGCGTGCTGTCGCGAGAATCCTTTTTGCAAGCAGTGAAACAAAATGCGCGCACGCGCGTCGTCGCGCGCGCATGCCGGAATCTTTCGATAAGAAACAATGATGTCGGAAGGATTCCGAAATCGAGTGTCCAGGAACATATAGCAAAACATGTGGCTTCGCAGCGCCAGTTTTGAAAAATTGGCGCTCGCGCTCTTGCGAACTCAGCAGTTTCTTAAACTGTGCATTGGGGTCTGCCAGACGAGCCACTCGAGCCGCATGTCGAAGTCATTCGAGCGCCCTTGCGCGCGTTCTGGGGGGGGGGGGGGCCGCGTGTTCAAAAAATGCCATGCGGGCCACCCGCGCGTCGGCCGCGCGCGGGCGGCGAACGCCGTCCAGCGCCTTTTTCACCGACGCGAGGACGCCGTCATCGTCGTCGGCGTGATCAGCATCGGCGCCGTCGCTGGCCGCGCCGTCGTCGCTGTCATCATGGCCGCCGACGCCGCTACTATCAGCGCCATGTCTACAATTGTTGGCGCTGCCATGATTCCGCGCCCGCCCAAGTCGCCGTCTCGCAGTGAAGTGCCCGCTGGGATGCGCCCAGCGGTCAGCGCCGCCGCGGCCGCGTCGGCCGCCTCAAAGTAGCTGGCCGCTGTGCGCGCGAGCATGCGCGGGCTGGCGCGGCCGCAGAGATGCACCAGCCAGCGCCGAGCATTCAATCCAATCGCCGCCGCATGGTTTTTTGCAAACCAAGTTGCGGGTGAGTGGGTGGGATGTGTGCAAGAACGTGGAATTTGCCAATTCGTTTGTGAATATCAATTACACCACATAGATTGCATCATGTATTTGTCATGCTAGAAGCAGACAGATTTGACCTCCTCGGGACTATTGGAACCTGTTTTTCGCATGGCACTTTAGATGTGATCCTGCCCCATCGTCCATCCCAAATATGGCCCAACCGGCATCGACCCCCCCTTTCATCCCTGGCAAAGAAGACTATGCGCGCGCATTCGTTTATCATTAACCATTAGTTGCCAAGCATCCTTCGCAACAGCATGCGACGAAGTGCACGCACGCGCGCGTCGTCGCGCGCGCATGCCGGAATCCTTCAAATACCTTGGTACGCGTGAGGGTATCGCAATCGAGTGTCCTACAACATATCAGAATTCGTGGTTTCGCAAGTCGGTTGGTCAAAAAGAAGCTTGCGCGAGCGTTTGCGAACTCTTTTGAAAACCGTAGGTTTCCCCAACTATTCAAAACATGCAACCAAATGGGACTGCGTGCGCGCATGTCGAAATCGTTCGAACGCCCCTGCGCGCGTGGTGCCGCGAGAATCCTTTGCAGCAGGTGGGTCGAAGTGCGCGCGCGTGCCGGAATCTATCACATACTCTAGGTGTCGTAACGATTTCCAAACCGAGCGTCACGAGACAATATCAAAGTTTCGCAACATCAGGATTCGAAAATGCTTGCGCTCGCGTTCTCGCGAATTCGTAAAAAAAAAACAATAGGTTGTTCAACGTGTTCATGGAATTATACCAACGGGCCCCTCGCGCCGCATGCCGAAGTCATTCGGACGCCCTCGCGCGCGTGCTGGGGGGGTGGCGCGATCCGCGTCAAAGAATTCCATGCGGGCCACTGTCGTGCGTTGGCCGCGCGCGCATGTCGAACTCCTTCCACAGCCTCCATCGCCGACGCGAGGACGCCATCATCGTCGCCGGCGTGATCAGCATCGGCGCCGTCAGTGGCCGCGCCATCGTCGTTGTCAACGCCGTCACCCGCTTCTCGATTATCATCGTCGCGTCTACCGCTGACGACGCTGCCATGATACCGCGTTCGCGGCGGTCGCGCCAGACTAGCTGGCCGCTGCGCGCGCGTGCGTGCGCGGGCTGGCAAGGCCGCAGAGATGCACCAGCCAGTGCCATACGTTCAATCCAATCGCCGCCGCATGGGTTTTGCAAACCAAGTTGTGGGCGGGTGGGAAGGATGATTGCGCGAGCAATGGAATCGACAAGCGCAATATGGGCACGGTGAATTGCGCCACGTCGATTGCACCATATAGGTTGCACTACATAGATAGCACCGCGTCGATTGCACCGCATAGATTGCACATCGCATGGATTGCACAACGTGGCCTGCTTAACCTGTGCTGCACCACATACATCGCAGATAACTCCACGCATATTGCGCAGCACATTGCGCACTGACTACAAAGTACAACGTAACTTGCAATACGTATACTCTCCTCTTGTAAGCGAATATTGGGATCTACCACCCCCTTGGAGTTCCCCGGCCACCTTTTCGTGTTGCAATGTACGGTTCTGCCCCATGGTCCGTTCTAAATATGACGTCGCACCATCCCTGGCATCCTCTGTAACAAATCATCAGCCTCTGCCAAGAATCATATGCGCGCACTCGGTTTTCAAGAATCACAAGCTTTCAATACCTGCAGCCGAAAAATACGAGGTGCGGAAACCGGTTGGAAAAAATGGTTTCGCAACCGTCGGTGTTCAAACAATACCACCTGCGCCCGCGCTTTGGCTGATTCTGCCGGGCGCGGTGGAACTGCGGGAAGAAGCGCCAGCTTTCTCGAAACCTCGTTTTCGGCATCAGCCCTGGCACGCGCGCGTCTGCCCCCACAGGGGCCGAAGCCCCTGCTCGAGCCAGCGCGTGGTGGCGGAAGGGGGCCGAGCGCCTGGCATCTCTGGGTGGCCTCCGGAAATGCTCCCGGGCAGCTTGCACGCCCCAGAAAATGCTAGATGCCAAGACACGTGCAGCCAGCTCCCCTCCGCCACCTGGAAGCGGTTCGCACAGGGAGATTGATAGGGGGGGGCACATGCGAACCCTACCCCTACCCCCCACGATTTCTGAGGGGGAGGGTGGGGTTCATTTCGTTCGGGAGCTCCCGAACGAAATGAACCCCACCGTCCCGAACGAAATGAACCCCACCCTCCCCCTCAGAAATCGTGGGGGGTAGGAGTAGGCTTCGCATGTGGCCCCCTAATTGAAGCCGAGCCTCGCGCGCAGCGCGCTGATCTGGAGGGGTGCAGCGCAACGAGGCCTATAATCCAAGCAAGCGCGCAGCGATGGATGGTATAGGCGGGCTCGGCTCAGTCGGGGAGGAGCTCGTCGTAGTCATCGGGGCCCTTGATGCGGCCGTTCGGCCTCCCGAGTGCTCCTCTCCCGGTGACTCGGGTGCCTTCTTCGCTTCGCGTATCTTCAGCGCCCTGTCCTCCTCGACGACAATGAACTCGCTTTTCTGCAAGATCCCCCTCGGCAAATCC